TTTATTTTTAAAATTATATTTATCATTGAAAAAAATATAATTTAATTAAGATACTATCGATATCCAATGAGTGTGATTTTTTGTAGAGATAAAATACTCGACAAGCTGTACACATTAACTGACTTAGATCATCAAAACGAAATCCATGGTGAACACCTTGGGGCCACCGTTTGTTAAATTACACTTCGCCCTTTATATTTATTTATTTTCTTATTTGACCTTTTAATTTTTTTCCAATATGACCTTTCATATTTCAAGTGTTTTTTCTATTTGCTCCAAAGTTAATTTTTTTTTTAAAAAAAAAATTAGAAAAAAAATTTCACATTAGATTTGTGGTTTAGATGTGTATTATATAATAAAAAAATATTTTTATGACATGTGATTGTTAATGTGTGTCTAATTTTGAATTTAGGCCCAAGTTTGACATGAGCTAAAATGGGGTTACTAAGCTAAAATAGCTATAAAAAGACAAGTTAGGTTAAAAAGTTAAAAAGACAAAATGTCATATCTAAATCATAATCATTTTATTTTGTTTTTCACAAAAATAAAAAAAATCAAAAAACTCATTCGAAACGAGACTTTTTAACTGAGCCTAAAATAGCCAAAAAATTAACTCAATTCCCAAACCAAGCCTAAGGCCTCGTTTGATAACTTTCAATTTTAGCAAAAAAGTTAAAAAGTTAGGCTTCGTTTGGGAAGCCAAAAGTCAGGCTTTTTTGGCTATTTTAGCCAAAAAAACAAAATAGGCTTTTTAATTCAATAATACAAAATATCACATACAATTCATAATCATTATATTCTTTTTCTTACAAAAAAATCAAAAAAGCCAAAAACCCTTCCCAAACTAAGCTTTTTAGTCCTAGGCTAAAATAGCTAAAAATGCCAAAAAATCAACCTACTTCTCAAACGAATTGTTACATTACTCTCTCTACTTTTCTATATATCTTTTCATCAAAATTAAAAAATTACTAAACTAACCTATTTTCAAACGAGACTAATTAGTTTTAAATTAAAGAATTATTTGGTATAATTTAAATAAGTATATTTTGATTTTTTTTTTTGGGTTAGAAAAATAGATTAAAAAACATGTATATTTAGAATAATTTTTTAACTTTTTTGGCGTGTAATATAAAATAATAGTTGGTAATGTAAATTTACATTTTTACCCCACCTTTTTGACCAAAAATCTACAACAAATGCAACTTCATGAGACGTAATTTTTTTTTGGTCCTTGCCCCTGATGCAGGAGTGTCTTTTTCTTTTCGTCCTTGCCCCTGCAGCGGGCAGTGATGCAGGAGTGTCATTATTGCATACATGGCTGTACACGCATTCTTTTATGAGTATTGATAGAGACCCCCTCCAATCACTGTTCTCACAATCTTTACATACACGTGACAGGTGGTGATTGGAGGAGAAATAAAAAAATAAAAAGTAACCAATCAAAAAAGAGAGGGGGTCAAAGGGGGTGAGGGGAAAGGGGGTCTTAAACATTTTTGTTCTTTTATTTGAAGGTAATAATGACCAATAAAGGTTGAGACCCCTTTTAGAGGTCACCCCCTTCACCCCTTTGCATTTGATTGGCTAACCATTTTTTTTTTTTTGATGATCTCCCAATCCCCAACCCCACGTGTGTGTGGGGGTGGTGGGAGTGAAACTTTTAAGGGGTATGAATCATTGCTCAATAATGACCCACCTTTTTATCCATTTGATTTTCTGCCAGAATGGAATACGTTAATTTTTTTTACTCTTGCTGTTTCAATTTTTTTTTTTTTTTAGTAATGATTGAAATTCTTACAAAATATCAACTTCACAATTCCACTCACTTGTGATTAATTCAAATAATAATAAAAAAAAAATAATACATACACATTATTGATTCACATCAGTGTAGAGGTGGTGAAGATCTCCCAAAAGGAGATCTCAAATATTTTCATTTTTTTTTGGTACCGTATTTTTTATTTTGGGATCAAGATTGTTTTTTTTTTTTGAACGCGGGATCAAGATTGTTGATAACAAAAACAACAATGATTCATCCCATTAATTTGAGAGTACTAATGGACCACTAATAAGGTGAAAATTCAAAAAAAAAAAAAAAAACAGGAGCAAAACATCTTATTATGTGAGACCCACACCACTTTAGAGCTATTAGTGTTTTTTTTTTTTTTTTTGAATTTTCACCTTATTAATGGTCTATTAATACTCCCAAATTAGTAGCATGAATCATTGTTGTTTGCTCATCAAAACTCATACAATTCAAAAACCATACACAAACGGGCGTTTTCTTTAGATTTTTTTTTTTATGAACTATTTTTTAAAATTCATAATCAAACATTTTGTTTTTATAAAATATGTATGTTTTATTTTTGTAAAAAACGAAATATTAGACAATGTTGAAAACATGTAATTGAAAAAATGTTTATGTGAAATAATTTATAGAAATTGTAACAATTTTTTTTTTGCATCATAATTTTGTATGTTGAAAATGTTTTTTTTTTTTTTTTT